GGGAAAAGGAGAGGGAAACGGGAAGGGAAGGGAAGGGAAAAGGAGAGGGAAAAGGGAAGGGAAGGGAAGGGAAAAGGAGAGGGAAACGGGAAGGGAAGGGAAGGGAAGGGAAGGGAAAAGGAGAGGGAAACGGGAAGGGAAGGGTAAAAAGAAACGAAAAAAGGAGAAAAAAAGATTTGCCAGTGGTTTAAAAAAAATATATTTTATAGGAAGTAGAAGGAATGTGATGTGAAGCAAAATGCAGGTCTTAAATACCCTGGTCGTGCTTTCCCCTCTGCAGGGCCGCTCCGTGGCCGCCGCTGCTTTTGTTTTCTTCCGTCCGAGTGACCTCCCGGTCACTCCAAATGTCACAGAGCCCGCGGAGCTGTGGCTCCCCGCAGCCCCTTCCGGAGGGGGAACACGCCGTCACCGGACGAGAAACTTGGCTGCAAACACCCGAGAGCAAATCGGTGTCAGAAACAACCGGGAACGGGAGGGAGAGGGGGGTTGCTCTCGGAGATCATTTGTTCATCAGCAGACCCAATGCTAAGGCTCCACGGACTTCAAAGACAGCCTCGATAGGCCAAGATGCTCCAAGCTCCCATCAAATGCCACCTTTGGGAATAGAGGGTTTCTTTATGTTGCTTCACAGCCAGACTTCGCTCCCGAGGCGCCGATAAAACCCGGAGCCACACGAGCAGCGTGTGGTCTCTCCCTCGTGGCACTGCTTTATTTTGTGGTTGACATTTAGCTGTCACCGAGATGGGCAAGTTAAAGCCATGGTAAGACAAATATTTGCTCAGCATGAAAAGCTGCCGATAGGTAAATTGCCTGCCATTACCTTCGGCAAGTCTCACACGGCATGAGTGGGGATGCACGGGCAGAGCAGGGAAAATCCCAGCCTCTGACCATTCCCAGGCTATTAAAGACATCAGTTCCCCCTCTAGGAGCCCATCTTCTGGCTTAAAGCTCCATTTGTCACGTGAGCAGCATTGATTTGAAAGTATCAGGTGCTCTGTTTATCTGCTTAAATCTGTTGAATTCCTGATGGAGCAGTTGATGGGGACCGGGAACAACCTGTCCCATTTTCCAGCAGAAATCCAAAATGGACCAAACGAGTTACAGTGCCTGCAAGGTGCCTCTTTCCCCTCATGGCCTGCCAGGGTTGTCTGCTGGCTGCACACAAGGTTTGGTGGGGGGGAATATATACTGCTGCCCTTTAAGTGTATCCTGATAATTTGTCGGCATCGATGTTAAAAAGCTGCCTCCTTTGGAAGACAAATTCACTTGGACCTGCTCTCCACCCTATGCTATTTTTCTCCCACAGATCAGGCAGCCCTGCACCGTTTATCCTCTCCCTCGGAAGCAATCCCCAGCTGTAATGAAGTCCACTCCCAATTTTAGCTTTTGTTTGTTAGCCCTCTCCCTGTGCTAAATATTTATTATGACATTTATTATCACATTATTTTGGTGACTCACCGTCCCCAGCTTCCCAGCATTGTTTCTAACGGGAACTTCTCAGTACCTGTTTCATTAACACCCTGCGTGGAAGCAACTTTACCCTCACATCCCTTCCCATATTGACTCAGCCCTTCACCTCCACGACAAAACCAGTCCCTCCTGACCCTCCTTTGGGGTGAGTTCATGGCCTGCTCTTTGTCCACTGTGATCACTTTATCTTTTTGCACTGTCACTGCTCTCCCCACGACCAGATGGGACTGTCCTTTCTTTGAATGTCACTGGGTAGTAAACACTGGTCCCAAAGCAACCATCAATTTTTTGTCCAGCGCTGAATTAATCCACAGCCACCATCCTGAGGTCCCCAGCTGAGTGATTGCATTTTTGATGCATGATAGTGCATGTTCAGCAATGACCAGCTGTGTTTTCAGAAACACTAATGCTGTTCTGCTATTGAAGCACAGGCTTCTCAGGCTGAGATCTCTATTAACCAAAATCTTTTAATTTCTGCAAATTAACGTCCAGAGCTCTTCTCCACTTCAATCCAAGGGCTCGTAACGGATCCCTGACACTGCCCACTCTTGGGTAATGTCAGCTCAAAGATGCAAAGGCATGGAAGGCTCTCTGGCTCTGAGGTATCAATAAATCTTAAATGAAGTGTGGATTTTTTTTATTAATAGGTGTTCTCTATTCCCTGTCCTGCCTTCCATCTTCCTCCACACTGCAGCCCATTATTGCAGCACTCCACTCACCTGAATCCCTCATTTCTCACCCCAGACTCCCCACAGTGCTCCCTGAACTACTGAAAATCTCTCCTTCTCTGTCGCATTGCTTCGACCTGCTCCTGTCACAAAAAGTCCAGTTTTGTTTTGCATTTGCCTGCTTTACTCCTGCCTGTTCCATGATCAGTTTAACACCTTTTTGCTTGCATTCTCTAGTCTCCAAAAAAACCCCACCACTGTCCTACCCAGGAGCTGTCAGTGCTCTGTTATCTGCCCATCTTTGCCTTCTTCCACAAACCCAAGGCTTTCAGCTGCTCTACCACAGGGGAGGCTCACGCCAGTATTTTTTTGCTTTCTTTCTCAATCCCTCAGAATAATCTCCCAGCTGCTCCCCCTTCCAAATTATTTCTTCTTCAGACTCAGGGCTTCTCTGCAGTCTGTGCTGACCTGTGTAACTCCATGTGATGCTCCATCTGCTGTTGACTTCTTCGTGTTTACTTTCTAAGGGGAAAACTGAAAACATTACTTCAAGCTCTGGCCAGTGTCACTGTCATTCCTCAAAAATAAGATCTGCCGTGGACTGAGCTCTGATTTGGATCTGCTCAAGGCTGTGGCTCAGTCCCAGGGATGCTGACTGAGGGAGGACTCGTGAAATGTGTCCTGTGCAGTGCTGCATCTCATGTGAGGCCACCTCAGCCCACAGAGAACCAAGTATGTGAGCAAACAGACAGCACCAACCTGCTGTGCACTGCCACCAGCTGTGGGTCTGAGCTCCAAGGGGTCCCCAGAGTGTCTGGTCTGACTTCCAGCTCCACCAGGGGGTGCAAAGCAATTCCCAGCATGGGAATCTGGGTTGTTGCCCTCCCTAAGCCCAGCACAGCAGTGGCAGCTCTCCAGAACACACCATAACCCGCTGGTTTGAGCTTGGACCCGTTCACGTGAACCCTCCTTAATGGGAGTCAGACTGATACCTCAGCATAACCAAGATTCTACATGCAGACAGCAACTGGACTGAAGGTGTGTCGGGGTTTATATGTACATAATTCTCTCTCTGATCCTGTCTCCATATGGGCATCCAACAGCTGGACCTCCAGTTCAAGTGTATTTATAAATAAATATATCCATGCATGGCCAGTGAGGTGTATTAAAACCAGCTTATTTCAGAAATAGCATCATTTTTCCTGGCGAAGGAGAGCAGCTTCTCTCATTTTCTGTGCCACTTGTATTTTTGGGCTTAGCAAGGCAAAATGCCAAGGAGAAGACAGCATGTTTACCTAAGAGCAGCTAAAAGAGCTGTGTGGCAATCAAGGTATTGAGTGGGCTGGGCTGAAAATAGATCGGCTTGGAAAGACTTTGATCAAAGATGCTCATCAGGGGCCTGGATGGCCTTGAGCACCAGTAACGAGCTCTTAGGGAATACATCCCCCTGCACAAACAGTGGGCAAGGTGCACACTCCCCCCTCCCGTCTCATGAACCGTATCATGAAATGGGATTAATTATCAGGAATGTGATTTTTTTTTTTTTCCCCTGGGAAAACCCTGTTGAAAGGGTGTTTGTGGCCTCGTTGGGATATTACTGAGTGCTTCACCTCAACCCTTCTCGGGCGGTTATTATTGCTTAACCCCTTGAAGCTCTCCCGAGCTCCCACTGAAACAGGCTCCACACCTTTTCCAAGCTGTTTTGCCTCTTCCTTTCTTGTTGAGCAGACATGCTCTGCCCTGTGCCAAGCCTAACCTACCCATGCAATTACCAAACTATTTGCCTGCAGCTCCACATATCTCACTTTATACAACACCTTGTGCCAGCTCTCCTTTCTGGGCATGTCTACATAGCTGTTCTGGCCCAGGGTCCAGGTCTGGCGTGTCTCTTGGCATCCTGACAGGCATGACAGATTACAGAAGAAAGTGTTTGGGCTCTTCTGGCAGCTCCAGGAAAGCTCTCACCCTGTGATAGGAGAGCAAGAACACAACCCAGGCTCTGGCTTTGAAGGTGTGGGGGTATGACAGGTCTGGTCACAGACCCTGGGCTCAAGTCCAGAGAGAACAAACAGCATCATCATGTCTCTGTAGCACTTTGTTAGGAAGTGTTTCCGGTCCTTAATTGTCTTATTTCGTAGTAAATGGGTTAAGATGCTGCACTATGAGACTCTTTTTTTTGCAGTTTTACAGCTGCAAACATCAGGGAGAACTTGCCACCATGTAGGGCTGGGAGGAATCTGTCATGTGTGAGACCCCCTGCCTTGGTCAGAGGTTGGGGGAAAGGAGCAGGGCAGCTCTGCTCTGCCAGGCAGGAGGCATTAGGGAAGTCACAATGCCCTGGGGACCCTCTCCAACTTTTGCCCTTAGTAGGGAAAACCTCCGTGTGATGCTTTTCAGAACTAACAGTAAAATTATTGCTCCCTTCGATTCCAGCAGAGATGGAAAGGGGGATCTGTACAGCCCCTCAGTGCACTTATATCCAGTACAATAAGTGCAATACTTGCAGCTTTCTTGCATGTAGCCTCTCCAATGGCCTTCTCCTCTTTGACAGGCACCTGGCTGCCCTCAGGCTGCTCCCCTGAGTGTCTCCAGCTGATGTTAAGGGAAGGTGCCACAGCCCCAAATTTTTTCTTTGCAGTTTTCCAGCTGCAAACACCAGGGAGAACTGGTAACCACGTAGGGCTGGGAGAAATTTGCCCACCAGACACAGCACTGTAAAACCAAGGGCTCTCCCCAAACTGCTTGTTACAGACTCGGCACCTACTGTTATCATGAAAACCACGGTTACATCAGGAATTTTGCATTTCCAGGGCTGCCAGACCCCTTGTTCTGTACCTCATCAGTGGGAAGAATTAAAAACACCATCTAAGGGTGGTTTGAGGGGGGTCCTGCAGCTCCCCACTGACTGCATTGCACCCTGGGGTCCGTCACTGTTCTGGATGACACTGCTCACAGCAGTTCCCAGCCCCACCAGGCTTTATCAGATTCCACAGGAAGTTGGTTGACTGTGGTCCAAGTGGTTACCTGAGGTTTTCCAGCCTCCTCTGTCACATCTGGCACAATCCAGCTGATGATCTCAGTGTTACTGGCTCCAGGTTTCCTCCTCCATGTCACAAACCTCTGATCTTCCAATGGCTGGGGTAGTGTTCTAGCACCCTGTAAAGGTATTAGAAACCAAATTATTATTTGAACACAATGATACTGGCCATACAATTCTCACTGCAGATCTTGGAAATTGCCTTGCTATCCACATCAGTCATTTCCTGGATCAACTAACAGCACAAACCTCATTAAATCCCACAGTCACTGCTGTATGCCTACTGCTCTGAGAAACTTGGGGAGAAGAAAAATAGGGAAAAGAAAACTGAATTGTGGGCACATTTAGGTTTAGAAAGAGGAAATCAGAGTGAAGAATTAAAAATGGCAGACTTTTGCTGGGCCAGTATTCTCCTCCTGGGCTCATGAAGCCATGCTGGATCTAGAGGAAAGCTGAACAGATTCCCAAACACACCAGTGGAATTGAAGACCAGGATCTTGGCCACTGACTTCTCCTCATCAGAGCAACTGGAGGATGGCAGCAAGTCAGTGACATTTCCTAAGTGAGCCCAGAGGGGCTGGATCCTCTGCCTTGGGAAGCAGCAGCCTGCAGTTCCATGGAAAACAAGATAGCAATGAAATATGTGACCTTCCAACAACACTCTGAAGGTCCTTCCTGTCTCATGAAGGAGACAGTAGTGGGATTTTTCTGTCCAGTGGTGACTGTAGACAGGGCTGTGTTTTCTTCCTTCCACCCTTTAGTCAGAAGTGAAGGTGAAAGGAAATTTCAAGTGCTGAAATTTTGAAAGCCTTGAAAAAGGAATTTTCATGTACGGACACAAAGCATAGCTTTTAGCTTGTGCCTGAATATTTTAGGGGCTGTCTTTTGGGATGCTCCTTGTGTTGCTGAATCACAGCCCAGGCACTGGGGTTTGGGAATTACTGGTTTAGGGGAGATTGGTTTCAGACACTGAAGGAGAAGGTTGGGAGGCACAGCACTACTCCTGCATGAACTTGGGTAGTTACTGTGGATCAGCTGACACTCTTCAATTTGCTAAGTCAGGTAATTTGACCTTAAATCTAAGCCCATAGTTGCAACCATGTAAAGTGCACTTCCAGGAACAGGCTATTTATCCTGTAGCTGTGCACGGAATTACAGCCAGATAATAACTCCAGGACACGGTTTATTTCCCCGTGGTTGCTGTGACTTTTGGGTGCTCTAAAGCAGCTTTTTTCTTGTCTTTTTTTTTTTTTTAATTTTTAATTCTGACGTTGGAGTTCCCCTACTTGCTGCTTCCAAGGGTGTCAGTTTTAAAATGGAGAAAACTAATGAAACTGGAAATATATTAGTGCTGCCTCCGTGGTAAAGGTACCCGCCAATATCCCAGCCTTGCTCTGTTCAGAGCATCCAACTTTTATCTTCTGTCTCTGCAGAAGAGGGGATGCTGGGACTGACTGTTCATCATTATGGGCCAAAGTACCAAATACAGCACATCAGCTACAGAAAACAGACCCTGCTGAGGCACAGCTGACTGGCTGTGGAGGTGCTTTATTTCAGCACGTGATGGGAACACTGAAGCAGTCCATGCCTGGGGGCTCAGGGGCTTGATTCTCCTCACAGCCAAGATCCCCAAAGACACTCACTATCTGTTAGCCCTAACAATGTAGTGCCACTGAAAATCCCAGGTGCCCAATAATCCCTGTATAAGCAAGCACAGACATCAGCCCACCAGCCAGCTCCTTACTTGTTTGCATTCAGTGTGCATTTAGCAGCAGGCTAAAAATACAATACCATGACTAGATAGCGCTCTCTTGAAGACCACTTGCATTTCAGATCATCTCAGCCTTATGCCACACTCAGAACTTGCCTGAAAACCTGGGAAAATTATTTGCAGGGCTACTGCTGCTCAGAGAACAGCTCCAGTCAAGAGCCCTTTATTCCATGGATTTTCCAGGCAGGGCATATACAGTCGAAGCAGGCATCATGTTATTTTTCAGGAGAGAATTTCAGGGAGGAAAAGTGGTGGATGCTGAAAGCAGCTTTGTGTCCTGCTACTAGGACCCAGGCAGGACATCTGGATCCCTATGCAAAAATACCAAGATCTTATTGCATCTTCCTGACCACAAGGATGGTAACCACAGGAGGTAACTCTGTCAGGTTTTTGGAGCCTGCAGAAGTGGCTGATGCTCAGGGGTGCTGCCACGTGCTTCTGATGCCTCACCAGGTCACAGCTGCAGTGCCTGGGTTAGTCTCCCTGTGCTCCCTTTAAAGCCAGGGATGGCCCTTTTGGGGCACAGCCCATCGCACCCCAAATGAGTCAGCTGGAATAGGTAAAAATATTCCTACAAACCCATCTTCTAGGTTGCTCCATCCTCCAAGGATATTAAACCTTCTCCAGTCACGTGAGACCCCCTGCCTTGGTCAGAGCTTGGGGATAAAGAGCAGGACAGCTCTGCTCAGCCACACAGGAGGATATTAAACCTTCTCCAGGTCCACAGCAGGAAGAAACATCCAACACCTCCTCACCTGATTTATACCTCTTCAGGTAAATTAAAATTATGCCTTTTATTCCTGCTGACTCTCTAACTGCCTCCACAGTGCCCATGTTGATGTAAAAGCATGGAAAATTGAGGTTTGCTATAGACTGTTCCAGGTATGAATACCCAAAGTGTTCATCAGCACCTTGGGAGGGTGCTGGCTTTTTAACATCCATCCCAGCAGTCTCTGGTATTTTTGGCAGGAAAACAAGCAGATGTGACCAGACTGTTTCTCTGTCTGCTTCCTGTTCACTGCTTGTGAACCAGGTGATCATTTCCAGCCTCGTTTGATGGTACCTTTGCATTCCCAAAGTGCTGAAGCCTGTAAGGTTTGTGCAAATAGGCAGCCAGATAGGGAGAGGAGGGAGAGAGAGAGAGAGGAAGGGAAATTTACTGGTTTTGAGGCACAAGAACACATCCAAGGGTTCAACCTGAAGTCTTACATCCAGGGAAGACCAGGTCACTTATGGGATCACTCACTCTTCTAAACACCATTCTTTTGGCTTCCCAAAGAGCAAGGGGGTCTGTTACCTGCCCCAGTATCTGCACTGACTGTATCATCTCAAAGTGGTTTAAACTGGGGATAAAACCCACTGAAAAACCTCTCTGGATTAAACTGAGTCCGTCATCCTTGTCCTGTGTGGACAAGACAACAGAGACATAAGGAGCCACTGACAGTGATTTGAAGTCTGATAATTCCAACTGATGGAAAATGTGTGTGTGTGTGCACGTGTAGGTGTTGGTGGGAGCACAAGCCATTCACAAACAGACCCTGTCCCCAGCACATCAGGCTTCAAATTCTGCATTTGTTTCTGTGTAGAGCAGCTTGTCTGTCCAGGCAAGAGCACGGATAGATGCCAAACCAGGCTGCAGGTACCCAGGGGACGGGAAGGAGCAGCCGTGGGAAGCAGCAAGGGTCCAGCCCAGACCATCTGCTGCTGTTGGATTAATCTCTAACCTGTGCTCTTAGCTGGCCAAGGGAAACTTGTTAGGCTGAATTTGTATCTCCAGCTTCAGGTTACAGCCTGGCATGTTAAAATAAACCATCGCTGACTTTGTGTTGTCTTAAAAACCTGGGCTGTGGATTAGAGATGGAGGAGAAATTGTGGAAGGAGCTGTGTGTGACCATCAGTGTGGGGGGGAGGAGATAACTCTGTGCTGCCAACAGCTTGATCGTGGGCAAGGGCACCTCCTTGAGAAAAAGGAAAGGATGGAGAGCCCCAGGGTGAAGGGGTGGTTGAAAGGAGGCTTGGACCCACGAGCAAAGTCTCTCTCCTTCTGCTCTGGGATCAAACGTTGTGTGCTCTGAAGAAGCAAATTTGAAACATTTTTTCTCCCCTCTTGATACTGTTGTTTCTCATTACCATTGTTTGTCTTGTTTCCTCCTGCAAACCATCCTCTGCCAGAGGAGTAGCAATCTTGAAAACTTGGAAGTATTGTGGAGGAAGGAGGAGAATTATTTTCTTAAAATTTCCTTTTTCAAAATGTGAAAATAATTAAAAAAAAACCAAACAGATGTTTTCACTGCCAGGGAAAGGTATGGACAGAAACAGAGGAGAAATGTCTGGAGAAAAGCTGTCTCCTAGCTTTGTTGAATACTGGAGAAGGAGGAGACAGATGAAAAGAAAGTTTGAGGAGTGGACTCGAAGACTGACTTATTGCTTATCTGATTCCTCTGCAAACCGGGCCAGCTGTCTCACAGGATGGTTTCAGGTGGTGTCTGCTGAGCCTCCTGACTCATCTGCGTGTGGGTTTTGGATGTGCTGGAGCTAAACTGAACCTGCCAGGCACTTACAGTTCGCTTTTACACACACGGAGGAGAGCTGGGCTGGTTGGACCGAGCGGTACAAAGCCTCTTTCTAGGAAAGGAGCTTTGCGTAACAGAAGGGAAAATAGGTCGTTGTCAAGGTTTAGGGCATTTGCAGAAGAAAGTAAACAAGTGGTTCGGCTTGGCCAAGATGGGAGAGCAGCTCTGTACCGAGCAGGATCTGCCCCTGCTCAAAGACAAGGCTGTGCTTGCAGGAGGGCTTGGCTGGGAGGAAAGTCAGCCTCGTGTTTACGACAGCGGGACTCGGATTCTCCACGTGATCCCTGACAAACCATTTAATCCCAGCGCTCTGGGAGGGAGGAATCACCTCCCTGTGACACCCAAGGCTTTGGGTGCCAAGCTCTGTGGGGCACAGCTTGCACCTGGGCATGAGGCACCCTGAGCAAACGCGGCCTTGGGATTGCTGTGGATCTGCTTAGGAGTGGGAGGCTAGTGGGAATGGGGAGCTGGTGCTGGAGCAGCCACACCAGCCGTGGCCATGGCAGACCCAGAGCAGAGCCCGTCCCAGGAGGACTCAGGTGCGGAAAGAAACAAAAAACAAGGTAAAAAAAATAATAATAATAACAACCACCAACCGCCTGCAAAAGCGCCTCAAAGTCCTTAAAAACTCGAGCAAAACGCCGAGCAAAAATCCCAGGAGAGATGCTGGAACAACTCCAGCTGCCTCCCTGGGTGACACTGAACCACAGCACGTCACCTTCCCGGGGCACAGGGCTGGGGGAGGCGGGGGCACCCACCCACCCACCCACCCACTCTGGGGGCCAGGGACGGCTCTGCCCTCGCAGCACGGGCTGTGGCTTCGCCCTCCCTGCCCGGGAGGGTACAGGCTGTGCCGGAGCAGCGCTGTGGCACCCGGGGGGCTGCGCGGGGGCTCTTGCGGAACATCTGCCAGCTGCCCGGCCCCCGCCGCCAGCCCCGCCAGTACATCTTGTTTGTGTTTTTCCGCGGAGCACACTCCCAGCGGGTTATGTCAGAGGTGAGGAATGCAGGGCCACCCTGTGTCATGAGATCAGACTTACATTTTTAGGCCGAGCGCTTACCGTATTTGCTGGGAAGCGGCGCGCAGGCGGCACGCGGGGCCCCGGAGGGGTGGGAGATACCCCTTCGCCTCCATCCCTCTTTTCCAGCCCTCGCTCCAGCAAGAGCCGGGTGGAGCGGATGGGGCCCGTCTGCTGGAACAAGCTCTCCCTCTGTTCCTCACAAGCAGCAAGAAAGGAAACGCAGTGAATTAAGGCGAATGAAAAGGCAGCAGTGAAAGGCAGCCGGGCTCGATGCCAGCGCTCACGGAGAGAGAACTGGTGTGGAGCTGCTCCCTGCCGCCGGTGAAGGCATCGGCACCCGGGACTGCCCCGCGGGGGAGACTCGTCCGAGCACCAGCACTCACCAGGCTCCCAGGGGCTGAAAGCTTGAGGGGAGACGCGAGCCCGTCCAGGGAGAGCCGGGCTGGGAGCTCTCGATGTGAAAGCAGTTTGCAGGGTCTGACCCAAAACATCACCCGGAGCAGTGACCTTCCCCCAGTTTCGTCGCTGGGAGCCAACCCTTACGTCCAACCTTTCTAAAATTTCTGGACTGCTTTGCCCGAATCCCTCTGCTCGAGGAAAGATGGTG